TATTGATGGAAAGTAGTAGAACTTATACAATAAACGCTTGTAGGGTCAAAACCCTACAAGCGTTTATTGTATATTTATGTGTTAACTGCAACTTCGCACTTTTATTCAGAGAATATAGCGTAAATATAGTATATAGAACACATAATATTTTTCAACATTTGTTTTGATGGCTGTCTGTTAAATCTATAGTAAATGTGTAAAAATTCTATAATAGACGATCAATAGTGTACACTTTAACTATCATCATCATATCAAATGAAATTATACATTATATACGAAAATAAGTATTTGACAAAATAATGAATTACAATCTAAACGAAAAGATAATATTTCTTCTTGTAACTATTCAATTTGGTTGTTGAAATAATGTAAATACTCTTGCCAAGGAGTAATTATTCAATGTTTATTAAATTCATAATGTATATAATGTAAATTAAACTGCTTTCACAGTGACAATTATAAAAAAACAAAAGATTTTTTTGTATTGAATAGATGTTATCCCTGTCATAGTAAAATCCTGAGACTTTTTTTTATTTCGAATATTTATGGTAATAATATTAAACAAATGCATAAAAAGTAAATGTAAAAATATAAATGTTAAGCTTTATAATTTAGAAAAAATATGTTAGAATTATTAAATTAATTAACGATGTGTTTTACATATAATAGCAATTTGTTAACAATTTTGAAATGAAATAATAATTTTAACTTAACAATTTTCACATAATTTAAGCAACGTTGAGCGATAGAAATAAAATAACGTAAGATGTCATCTATTTGTAATCTTACCTTCTTCAAATTCTCTGACTCTAAATGATTTTTCTAATTCATAATTATCTTTATCACTCGTTGATATTTGCTGGAATGGTAATGTTTCAGAGATATCATTGATACAATCATATTTTTCATTTCTATTATCAATCGTATTTGGTGTTGATGTTGATAAATTGACGTCGACATTAAGTTCATCAATTTCTTCGATTGCATTTGCGTCATTATTAG